TAGAGAGTCGGGATCAAACTCACCCCCCCCTGCCCCCCCACCAGGAGTCAACCAGCTGAAGCCCCGGCACCTTGGTTCCTCCGTTCATGTAGATGGGAATCATGTTCTCCGCCCCCTGTTTGACCTTCAGCTCGATGTTGAGCTGCCGCTCCAGGGCCGCGATCCGGTGCTGGTTGGCCGACGTCCGACCGTCACAGCCTGGGGAGCTGGGGGCATCTGGACAAGAAGATCAGTCATCAGCTGAGAAGACCATGGACCACTGGGGGTGGGGAGGGGGTAAGGGGGGGCTAACATTTAAACACATGACAATTAAAAACATCAAAAGTTTAGGATTGTTTTTATAAAGACTGGGAGTGTGTATGTATCTGTGTGGGGGGGTCGGGGGGGGTCAGGGGGGCTCCATATTTGTTTTTCTCAGACTTCCGGCCACCGTCTCCACCTTTGGGGTCCTCTGGACCTTTGACCACGATGTGTGCGTCCAGCTCCTGCAGCTGAGCCTGCAGAGACTCCAGTTTGCGTTTGGAGCTGCGCAGCTGCGAGTCCACCTGGTGGGCGTTCCTCTTGTCGGTCGTGGCCCTGCGCAGGTTCTCGGCCCCCTCCTTGATCTTCAGCTCCTTGCGGATCTCCCTGCGGATCCTCTCGCGGTGCTCGTCCAGCCTCTGCTGCACGCTGGTGTCTGAGAAGTCAGTGTTCTGGTCCAGACCCAGCTGCTGCAGCACTGACAGCCCACCTGGGTCACCCTGGCATCTGCTGCGCCATCTGCAGGAGCTTCTTGTCCTGAGGAGAAACACGGAGGAGAAACTACAGAGTCTGGAGGAAACCCCCCCCCCCACCCCTGCCCCCCCACCAGGAGTCAACCAGCTGAAGCCCCGGCACCTTGGTTCCTCCGTTCATGTAGATGGGAATCATGTTCTCCGCCCCCTGTTTGACCTTCAGCTCGATGTTGAGCTGCCGCTCCAGGGCCGCGATCCGGTGCTGGTTGGCCGACGTCCGACCGTCACAGCCTGGGGAGCTGGGGGCATCTGGACAAGAAGATCAGTCATCAGCTGAGAAGACCATGGACCACTGGGGGTGGGGAGGGGGTAAGGGGGGGCTAACATTTAAACACATGACAATTAAAAACATCAAAAGTTTAGGATTGTTTTTATAAAGACTGGGAGTGTGTATGTATCTGTGTGGGGGGGTCGGGGGGGGGGTCAGGGGGGCTCCATATTTGTTTTTCTCGGATTCCCGCCCACC